ATATATAGAGAGAGAGAGAGAGAGAGAGAGAGAAAGAGAGAGAGAGAGTTTATATGTAGATAGACATCTATTGTGCGGATGTGTGTCCACAATGTTATTATGTGAAATGACTAAGAGAATAGGTTGCTTGGTAATGTGAATACGTTTAACTTCATATAACTAGTGTCGTTATCATCTATAAGGTTAGTATGAACCTTTTTTTTTATGATTCTCATTCTGTCATAACGTGTTCTTGTTAATTGTATTCTGCAAGAATGAGAATGAGTGAACAAATATGCATGAGATAACTATGAATGATAAATAATTAGTGAGAATGAATGATAGTGACATTAGTTATTCACATTATCAAATAACTTATTTTCTCAGTTATTTTCACAGAATAACACTAGTCCACAAACGTTCGGACCATAGATGCCATCCATATATGAAATCAGAAAAAGAAAAAAAAAACAGGGGCATTTTTGTCACTTTATACATAGTTAACGAAATGGTATAGACGGTAACTAAGATAAGACCAAAACCAAAGGATATGCCAACCATGAGTATCAATTGTGTCAAATTTCCAAAACTAGGACCAAACCTGTAGAAAGGTGTAAATCACTGGGCCCAAAACTGTAATTTACTCTAACAGGTAAATAAAGATTTAAACCATGTACTAAACAGTTGAATACAAATATTCTGATGTATCTTACCACAAGAGAAGTTCTTGATATCATACTAGTTGGGATAGGCTGGAATTGTCTAAGAGGAAAACATAAATACCCAACTTGTATGCAGTATATTTTCCTGGCTTGTGCTTCCTACTTTCTTCTACAGCTCTTCTTGTTCCCTGTTGGGTAGTTTACTCTTCTCTATGCTCACAGCCTTATTACCATTTATGGGTTGCTAGCATTCCTTCATCGATCTGTATTTATGGTCTCTATGCTCTTACTAACGAGTGCTTGCTCATTACTGCAGGCTCAATTACACTGTTACACATGTTTTAGAGATCGATCATGGTAGTATTAATCTTCTTCACCACATTCTTCTCATTCAGAAAATTATTGACTGCAGTGGCTGAATTTTAATAATTTATTCTCTGTATGCTGTGGCATATTGTCAATGCTTTACTGCCTGTAGTATATAGTTTCTGACGTTTTCCTTACAAAGTCATGCATAATAAGAATGGGCAAACTAAAGAATTCCTATAATTAGTCATATCAAACAAAGTGGAAAATACACCTAATTGGGTATCACCTGAAGTAAATAGGAAGAAGCACTCTATTATTTTTTATTGGCAACCTCCTCTCCTTAATGTACTCCTAAATATACACCTCTCATCCCAAGCACAACATGAACCTTCGAGACAACTCTTGATACCTCTAGCCACTATGCCCTTTTGAATTGTTGGAATAGCTAGGATTGTGAATTGTGATTTTTTAATCAAACTGTGTTCATCTGTTACAGCCCATGGAGATTCAAAGCTATCAAGTAATATAAAAGACAGCAGTAGAAGAAATGCTGATGATAGTCTACCTGTTGACAACAAAGATTCCACAAGAACTGTTCCAAAATTATTTGAAGTATATAAGTTTGATGATTTAGAAGTGGCTACACAAAACTTCTCCTTCCTATGTCATGGTTCTCGAGACTTATTCATAGGTTGGGTTGACAAGAACACATTCACACCTTCACTTTGGGGGATGGGAATTGAAGTTGCAGTTAAATGGTATAGTGAACTTCAGCCAAAGTGCCTGGTAAGTATCTATAAATGTACACAAGTTTTGATTCTCTCACTTCAATTCATAGTCAGTTTACGATTAAATATGGGGAAGTGATTAGTGCACAACATTTTTTCTCGTTACACAACAATTTATGCTTTATATGATTCTACAGTACAACATTCTAAAAAATATATTGTTGTGTATGAAGAAAACCTGTTTTGCGGATCAACTCCTATAACTATGAGGGGAAGTATCTTTTTTTTATTTATGCTTATTGTTTGTGGTAAGAATCTCACACAAAGGGTAAATGATGCTCAAACGAAAGATCTAGTGTTCTTTTAAAATCTTTCTATTAAAAAATAAAAAAATTACTCAAGAACACAACCTTATTAATAAAAGACGGAAATGGATATGGCATCTGAACCATGGGAAATGACTCGTACTTATGTGTACTGTGGCTTTTGACAAGTGAGAGATGAGATTATGTGAAAATGTGATGTTTAGCTTTATATGTCTGTTTTATGTTGTGAATGCAATTGAGGAGTGTTTATCATGGAACAAGGCTATAATATTTTGTTTTACAAATCCCTGTGCTGAAGGTAACTAAAATTTTTTTGTGAGATCAGAGAGTGGTAAACGCCTTAGGACGGTTGTCTCATCCAAATATTATTCGTCTCTTGGGATACTCCATCGATAAACAACCCCAATGCTTGCTTGTTTATGAGTACATGCAGCAACAAAATTTTGGTCACTTCTTATTCGGAGGTATACTTGAATCTCTCTAAAAAGCTATCATTAGTTTATCTTTACTCACAGGTTGAGTTGTTGCAATGAGGTAGCTGATGTAACATGCATAATTTCACATTGCAGAAGATGTCGGCAGACCACTTTCTTGGGAAAGACGACTCTTGATAATAATAGGAGTAGTCCGAGGACTCGCTTATATGCATTCATCAATAAATGAAGTCATACATTGTGATGTGAAGTCCTCTAATATTTTTCTTGATAAGGTACTGGCACTATTAATTAAGCCCCCTAAGATTTTTAGTGTTGATAGATCCACTTCAATGCATTTGGTTTTATGCCATTAAAGTTAACGACTTGTTGTTGACCCTTTCTTATTTCAGGATTTTAATGCAAAACTCGGGGGTTTTGGGAGGGCACTAGTTGGCCGTGATATCGGGAACCCCCATGTTGCGGGCACCTTTGGTTATTTAGACCCAACTTATATTTTTACACGTAGGTTATATTCTAACTGAGTGATATACAACCATATGAACATTTATAGATTGCTTGAGTGAGTGCGGTGATTCGTAAAGTAAATCTCGCTCTTTTATGATTATAAACAATACCCTTCATTGTTGTTACAGATTGCTTTACTGCGTGGAGTGACATCTATAGTTTTGGTGTTGTGATGCTGGAAACCCTAACAGGCCAACGGGCATATGACATGAAGCGGCTTAATCATGATCGCTATTTGACAAAATGGGCAAGTTCATTCTTCGCTGATACAATCAAGCTAAAGAAAATAATGGATCCACGCCTTGAACAAAATTACTCCCTAGAAGGAGCTTTCGAATGCGCTAAACTTGCAGCAAGATGTGTAGCTGAGGATCCTAAAGATAGGCCTTCATGTGAAGAAGTTTTGCGGGGGTTGGAACAAATATATGCCGTGAACAAATAACAATAAAAGATATAATGTTATGCTTAGACGTTGGTTTCTTTAGTGGAATACTAAAAGAACATGAATGGTTATTATGTTTACTCCATATAACTTTTCTTCATTCTAAACATTATATCTCTATTGAAAAAAATGGTAAACTGCACCATCTTAGTAGCCCAAGCCAACCCGTCCCAAGGCCTACGTGGGAGATTAATCATGGAACATCAATAATATTTTGGGTGTGTCAGGATTTGAACCATATACCTCCTATATGAAATTCCACTTTTAAGTTATTAGACTCCCATTACGGGGTCTATGTCTCTATTATAGATGTACATGTTAACCAACATAAACCAAATTCGATATTGACTTACTCGAAATGGCAGCAAAGTTTAATGTGCTCATCCTAGTAAGGTTATATGAAGTTTATATTATTACTTAGAACTAAAAGAAATCATTATAGATGATTTTGTTAGGTGATAATAGATGACTTGCTTTTAATAACAAAGAATATTAATGGCATAGATACAATATGTTATCAAGCCAGTAGCACACTCCAAAATTACCTTAATTATGGCTAAAAACATGAAAGGTCTCATTATTAACACATTTTGCACGTTCAAAGTTGCATAGATCTAACACACTGAAGTTGCTTACAAGTGGTTGATTTGGCAATGCATTAGACCGATCAGAATGACCATCTACCATACCCTGCAGTGCGCTGAACACGACATTGACCGGGTCGAGACTGCGGTAAGACCACCACACAAGGTAGTCTCACCACACAGTTGGTTTTTTTTTAACCATTTTTAAACGGATATATTAGAAAAGATTTGATTTTTTTCCTCTACTATAAATAAACACTACCACTTCTCATTTTAAAACACAAAAAAATCACCAAACACTTCTATATACTTTACATTCACCATTTCAAAATGTATTCATCGTCATCTAATTCGTCGAATGCATTAACTTTGTAGTAAGAGGAATTTATCAGGGATGTTATGTGAACAACATTCTCTTATTTACAACAAAATGAAGCCACAATTCGCATTCAAAAATGAGATATTCTCCGTTATGGAGAAATCATCAAGTCGGGCAAAACCAACTTGTGAATGACAAGGAATGTATTATTTTTACACATTGCTGATGATATAAAAAATATTTTTTCATATTATAAAAAGAGAATTGATGGAATAAGTCAGAAAGGTTTCTCTACAATTCAAAAATATACATCTACAATTCAATAAATAGCATTCCGCACAAGACCGTACTCATGAGATGAGTATTTGAAGATGTTAGAGTGAACGACACATAATTTTTTTAAAAGTTTGCGAAAGTTGTGATCATCATCTATAGTTGTTAGTATTTATGCATGCCTACAATTAGCAACGTCCATAAATTGTATACAATACATGAAAATAAGCATGAGTTCCCTAAAATGCCCGGTACTACCAAGGCATTTTAGGGAACCTATGCTTATTTTCATGTATCGTATACAATTTACGGACGTTGCTAATTGTAGGCTTGCATAAATACTGACCACGATAGATGATGATCACAACTTTTGCAAACTTGTATAAAAATTCTGTGTCGTTCACTCTGACATCTTCAAATACTCATCTCATGAGTACGGACTTGTGCGGAATGCTGTTTAATGAATTGTAGATGTATATTTTTGAATTGTAGAGAAACTTTTCTAACTTCTTCCATCAATCAATGTTCCCTAATGCGTGGCGCAGTCAACTAAGCAAGGAGATCAGAAGCATTTGACAATAATTTTAAAAGCACTGACATCTTATGTTCTTTGGATATGGCATGCATTTTTTGGTGCATCAGGTGCCAACAACGACATTAATTTTCTAGACTAATCGCCGACAATCAACGATGTCTACCTTGGGAAATTGTATGATGTGTCGTTTCAAGCATATGGGACATCATACAAGCATGCGTATTACCTTATTGATGGGATACACTTGAGTTAACTACATTTTCACAATTTTTTTCATATATGTTAGGAAGGATATCAAGTGAGCCTTTGGTGTTCTAAAGAGACGTGGACATATACTCGCAATATCAAGCAAAAGAATAAGTAGCTTGATGTATACAAGCATCATATTGCATAATATTATTATAGAAGACGAAGGAGTAAATATTGGTATACCGATGTACATCGCAAATAGAGGAGAAGTATAGGACCATGTTGGACACCACAACCTTCGTGCTGATTTGTTTAACAACCGTCAAAATTCAAGTTTGTTCTAGATTTGAATAAACTCAGTTACATGTGTAGGCACGACATATTCTAGACTTAGTGACTAGAAACAAAGTTATAACCTACTAGAAGCCTGGAAACAAGTAGAAACGAGGTATAGTGTACTTAGATTTCACATTGTTACGTGACTTCTATAACTACTTTAACTATAACAACTATTCAAATTCGGGACATTCCTTAACTTGAACATCTTTTCATGAATCATGTAGACACATCTTGCACTTGACCTAGTAGTAGAAATTAGGTTAGAGTCTAGTAGGAACTTAAGGTTGAAACTAGGACTAGTATATTTGAGTTTTCAATTTCACTTGAATCTCGAAATAACTACATAGAAATGCTAATAAACCAACAAAAACAAATCTCAAGCATTTTTGTAATTGGAAAAGAGCTATAAGACTCTAAAGTAATTTGAATTCTCAAAAAGTCAAATTATTTTGATATCCAAAGAATTATTACATACCAAAGCCTAAAAGCCCTAAAAACCGAAATTTTATAAGGTTTAACATCAAGAATTCTATAAAAATGATTATGAAGCATATAACATCCTTTTAAAATATTTAAAATGTGGAAATATCATCAAGGACATAATTTTAATTCATTAACATTTCAACTTATTTTTATAAGAAAAAAATTCAAGACTTATGAACAAATTTTATATAAAAATGCATATTTTATATAAATTGTGAGAAATTTAACGAAAATTGAAGAATGGATTATAAAATAATAATAATAATAATAATAATAATAATAATAATAATAATAATAATAATATTAATAATGAAATCTCCTCTCTAATATACCCTTCCCCAACACCTCACTTCCCAACTCACTTAATTATTTCCATTTCTCTCACACTCCACCTCCTTCATCACTCTCTCTCATTTTTCACCACAACCACTTCATTCTCTCTCTTTCCACTCTCTCTTAAGGTTTATTGCTAAAAAGATTTCCAATATGTTCACAAAGGAATTATTCACAAACAAATATCTAAAACTCCATTTCTACCCAAATTCAATTTTTCCCAACATTCAAACAACTAAATAAGAAGAACTGGAAATTTTTAGAAAATAATTCGTTTTTCTCGAATTATTATAATTTTTGCAAACAAATAGATCAATAATTCACATAAAATATATTTTAAAGTCAATAAGTTCTGGAAACATTCTGGGATGACCTACAAGTTGTGCACATATAAATTATGAAGTTTCACGAATTTGTATGGCTTTTTTTTCTAATTATTTCGATTTTATTTTTGTTAAGGAAAAATAAATGGTAAAATATAGTTATGAATGTTGAAAATGATTTTTGATAATTTTCGCACCTTCTTGACACTATAAAACCTCAATACAAACATTTAAAGAATTTTTCATGATAATTTCTTATTTTTCCTGGATTAAATGAATGTTGAAGGGGTTAAATTGATAAATAACAAAAATAGGTACACTTATCCACAATTCAGAAAAGTTTACCTAGACATCTTCTATTATAGTAGGATGCCAAATAAAAAAGTTGACAATTTTCATCTACTGTTTACAGATTTTCACGAATTAAATGCCTATTTAAGATAATAAATCAAGGAAAAAAAGTTAAACTGTTCTAATTATCACAAAAAGTTACCAGAAAGTCTTATATTGCAGTTCAACCAAAAGTAAAAACTTTGATGATTTATATTAACTGTTTACTTTTTATTTCAAATTTCTTGGCATTAAACACATCTTTAATCATAAAAATGGGTTTTACAGTTTACAAAGTTCATTAACAATTTTCCCTAGCTTCAAAATAAAGTATGTGAATTACTCAAAAATTTTGAGGATTTATCTTAACTGTTTATTATTTTTCCATGAATTTGTGTTGATTCAAGTGATTAATTATTGGAAATATATATATACGTATCTAAAACTCATCAAAACTTATTTGAAAGTCTTTTACTACATTTGGACCACAAATAAAAAGTTTGGTGGTTTTTACTTACTGTTTACTATTTAATTAGATTTTCTTATTATAAAATACACTTAAATTATAAAAATTAGGTTTTATTGATCAAAAGTGTTATTTCATATTTTTCCTACTTTAGGGATATAGTGAAACAGTTGCACAAAAATTTCAAGAATTTTTTATGATCATGTACTATTTTTCCATGATTTTATTATTATTCAAGGAATTAAATGGTGAAAAATACTTTGGCATCTCAAAAACTCATGAAAAGTTATGTGGATGTCTTTTATTATAATTAGAACTGAAATATAAAGTTTGAAAATTTTTATAACTGATTTGATTTAGTTTTCAATATTTAATCATTTGAAACACCTTCCAAAATGGTATAAGTACATCACAATTAACATTGAAAAAATCGGATTTTCCATTTAAATTGGTATTTTACAAATTGATTCATGGAATTCTAAATTCTCCAAAAAATATTATAACCTATTCAAACCCAAACTTTTGACACATTATTGACATAATTCTATTGTATAAGAGAAGTATACTAGTATTAGATTTTGATTAGAACCTCACTAGTATGTGACATCATTGTAGGAATTGGTAGTGATATAAGTGGAACATAGTTCAAGGCATCGTTAGCATCATCGTGAAATATGTTATGAGTATTCACAACCCCTATTTTCGGTTTTTACGTTTTGGGGTAGAAAGCATGTCCGAAAACTATTTATTGTTCGTTGTATCTAAATTGAATTGTATCAAACTTGATTGCTATATTTTGCTATGTATGTATATGCAACTTGAAACA